ACTCGCCACCACTTTGGTATCCATCACGACTGTTTTGTCTAAACTGAATTCTACCCCTCATCATATGTAACTCACCGCTTTTTTTATCATATTTTTTGCCCTAATTTCCATCTCTTTACTCCTAAGGAATGAGCTCAAGCCAGCAAGCACCAGCAAGCCAGCCAGAACTAACAATGTCCTAACTTCAAGATTCCCAAGATCCATGGTCTCAATCTTTTGATCCTCTTGACTCTGACAATCTTGGGAAACTTGAACGACAGCTTGAAGAAGAAAATGAAATGGAGAGAAAAGAAAATATGTCGTGGTGGAAAACATTAGGATTACTATCAGACTCTGAAGACTTGGATGAACCGGCCATAGCAGCAAATCTAGGCACTCCATAATTTGCAAAAAATCATCTCAAATCAAAGTATTTTATCGTTTTGTATGAGTCATCTGTCGTTTTGCAAAAGAATTGATAAAGCACTGATTGCTTTATTAAAAGGGGATCTTTTTCAATCAAAAGTTGTGTGTCCATTTGTATAATAATTGTACTCGTATCTTGCATGTGTTAAATGTCGTGGACATGTGTTAAATGTTGTGTACTCAAGTCATGTGTCATGTTTGTCCGGTTGTTAAAATTATTGTACTATTGAAAGAGTCTCTCCTCCTATAAAAGGGGACTCTCATCCTTTGTTGTGGATCATCGAAACATTTCAGAAAATAAATCCTTGAGATCCTTTAGATCATGAGTTTCTAATTTCTCTCTATTTCTCACTTGAATCCGGAGCACTAATATTAGTTCTATTAGTCATGTTATACTAGCAATTTGAGCAGTAACAAAAGTATGCTCTGCTACTGCCTCTCTTGAGGATCTTTAGCATCAGAAATTGTGCTGCAGACTAAATAATACACCAGGAAGATTTGCAATCCTAAGAGTCAGGCCCTGTATTTGTATGCCTCAGATCTGGCTGTTTGTTGTGGGCTAGAATAGCTTGATTGCATTTCTCTCTAGTTGGTATCATATTCCTATCATACTTAATGATATTTTTAACTTCCTTATAAGAATTAGGAATAGAATTGAGCAAGATTATGGCCTTATAAGTTTCAGACACAGCCTCATCATAATTAACGATATCTTGCCCTAATTTGTTAAATACATCTAAATTGTCATCGAGATCCTTTGAATGATCCATTTTAAAGTTGAAAAAGCGTTCAAGCAAGTAAAATTTATTCGGTGTAGATTTGAGCAAATATAAGTCTTCCAATTTTTTTCAAAGTTCTTTGGTGGTTTTCAGTTTACCCACCTTTTTCAAAATAGCGTCAGACAAGAGTAAAATGATTGAGGTATGCACCAAGCTCATCAGCTTTTTCCTTTTGTTCTTTTGAAAAATCAGCTGGAAAATTGCCTTCAATGACTTTTGAAACTTTTTTTGGGATCAAAATAACCTTCATTTTTTGTTGCCGGACAGAAAAATCACATTTTTCATTAAAAATCCCCAAATCAAAGTTGTGAGTTGTCATCTTTGCATAATAGCCAAAAATGCACAAAACATCATCAAACCAAACGAAGTAGTCCTAGAGTCGCAAATAGTATACTCCATTTTAGATTCCCAGGATTTCGTAAGACTCATGATTTTAGATCAAGGGATAAGGTGTTAGAATTATTAAGCAGCGGTAGTAACAATGCAACAAAAAGTACATCTAACAAATAACTAATTTCACAGCAATTAGATCACTAAGAACGAAACATTGATTTAACCAAAAGACAGGTACTCAATCAATCAGTTAAAAGCAAGTAATCCTAATTTCTAGTACAAGCAATGTTACCCCTTTACGGTAACCACAATTTTATTGTCACACCACACGATGACGCGCTAATACTGGAAATTAAATGGGTTAAGCTGATTTACCAGAGCGGACCTATCTGAATCCGTATAGTGGACTTTAGGGCCACCACTATTCGCCCTAAAGATTCAGCAAATGTGCCAATTCCAATCACCCACAAAATGAAGATTGATGTCCAGGGGCAAAATCGTCCAATATCTTCTACACAACCTGAAACATTAAACTAAACACATCTGTATGTTCAGGAGATTAAAATAAATGAAATGGCAGAGAAAATCACGTCGTAGGACTGCCCACGCGCAACCTCAGAAGGGCACCTTGACCTATTGAGTATGGGTCTGACCTCCGTTTGTCCAACGAAGGTCTGGTTTGAGAGTAATTGAAGTTTTCAAATTCGGGAAGGATTGAAGAAATCACCCTAATCTTCCAATTTTTGTTCTGATTCTTTCTAGATTTCAATAGCCCACGCTTTGATACCGGATGTTATGCGAAAATCCAACAATACCAAGATGATACCGAGCTCAATTTCCAATCAAATTAGCACCACCACTCGCGAGACACACCCTAATTCCTCTCTTCTTCTTTCCACTCACGGTTGCTATTCATACCCACAAAGAGATGGCCAAAGGTAAAGCAATATTACCCAAGAGAAACCACACAGGTTACACGAGAGAGAAGGCCGAGAATGAGCAGAGTCAAGTTCACAAAGAGAAGGCAGAAGACACGTTTTCTTAGAGGCACAAGAGACCGAAAATTATAGCCCAAGTGAGAGATCAAAAAGGTAAGTTAGGTTAGGTTAACATTAGTGGCCCAAAAGGCCCAACACAAATTTAATGGGCTCCAAATGGGTATTGTAGCCTTCCAAGTAAATGGGACGGGCCACGAGCAACATCATTAAATTAGGTTGCTTCTAATGGTCCGTAGAAAATTGGGTTGGGTCATCTCAATAGTGGTGTTAACATATCGTCCGGTCATTTGGTCAATGCCGACTAAAATTAATTAAAATCGAGTTTACATCATCGTCCGGAGATCGTTTGACAACAAATTGCCTAACAGGAATAATAGAAATGATATTAAACAACCAACAAATTTGGACAAAGTAACACTAAAGAAATGAATGCAAAGTCGAGGCAATAGTTGAACTCTTTGTCCTTAAATCAATTTTGCCCCGCAACGGTGACGATGGATAATGATAATCAACTTCCAAGATACAACGACTAACTTCTTGTGTTTGTAGCACTCCAAAACACAAGAACAACAAACCAAATTATGGTTTTTGTACTCCTTTTGAATGAAATGAAAACAAATTTTTATGGGGAATTTTGGCTAAGGAAATATGAATGGTTATGTTATGCTAAGAATGCATATCATTGGGATGAAGTAAAGGACAACCCAAGGGCCTAATTTATAGAGGAGGTTTTGAGTGAAAAGGCACACCCCAAAACTTAACAACCTTTGCCAAGGGTTGTGGCCTTTGTTGTCGCTCGAGCGTCAAAAATAAAATAGTTGTTGCTCAAGGGACGGTATTATCGCCCGCTCACCTCTCGAACAATAGGCGAGCGGTGGAGTTCGGCAAATACTCAACCAATTTCCCTCTTTTAATTCCGATCTTAGATCATAATTTCTCATTCATTCGGAATTGGTTTTGAGATTCCAAACATACCACACAGATATATTCGACGAGTAGAACAAGTTAATCTATTTATTTCCATAATTTGACTATCGGATCAAGTTCGAATATTTGGTCGAAGTTGACACGAAAATCACTTTACCATGGTTTTACGCTTAACCAATTGGAAAAATCTACTTGTACATAATTACACCCTTTATGTACAAAAATTATGTACATCTGGCAGAGCTCTAACCAATTCCAACAATTCTTTCGTACATTGTAATGCCTTGAAGCTGAATTCGGAGTGATATGTTTTAAATTGACAGTTCAAATTATGAATTGCAGGGAACTGAATGCCCCGTGGACCAGCGCTCAGGTGAAAGCGCCAGCGAAATTCATAGTCGGGGAACTTGACCTGACCTATCATGTACCTGGGACCAAAGAATTCATACACAAAGGTGGGTTCCAGAAATATGTGCCATTGTTGAAGGAAGTTGTTGTGATTGAAGGTGCAGCACACTTTATTAACCAAGAAAGACCAGATGAGATCAGTCAACACATTTATGATTTTCTTAAGCAGTTCTAAACCATCTTGTATTTGGAATGAGTTTCTTTAAGCTCGTGTGTCTGCTTCTCTGGGCAAATAATTGTTAAAAATTGAGGTTCGTTTGTAATAAAGATAAGTACCTTGTCATTTTACTATAATATCCTCGAGGACGTTTAGATGTTATACTTAAGCTTTTTGGTAATTATAGTCAAGCCGGGAGTAGAAATCTTTAAGCTTTTGGTGCTAACATGTTTGTGAACCGGCTTGAAGTCGTGTTTTGTTATAGGGGCCGAATGTTTATAAATGAATAAGGATGTTTCTGCTTCCCGTGGTTTCGTATTTTGTTTTTATGAAGTTTATATCTTGTTATTTGTTTAAAATGTAAGGCTGAAGTGAGGATAACAACCCAATGATTCAACGGGTTAATCTTACTATTTATAGGAATCAAGGTTCGTTTTGAGCAAGTCTTGGAGCTTTTTCTGTAAAGGCAAACTCATTAGACTGTTTTGCCGTGTTAATGGAATGAGATTATTTGTAGCCCCCCTTTATAACTATACACCATGCTAGTAGTACCTCTATCAAAATGGAACGTGCTATCCAGAAAATGGATAAAGCTATTTTATCAGAAAGTTTGATATAATTACATTTATCAGTAGATAATTGAATGAAAAAAACTGAATTTATTTTAAGCTATCTATTGATAGAATGCCACATGATATTACATCAAACTTTATGTTCAATAGCATGATGGCCAAAAAATATGCAACACCAAGTTCAGTCCAGCCAAACCAGACAGATTGACACCACTGCCTGCTTTTGCAAAATTGTGTTATATTGTGGCAAACTTCTTATTTTGCAGTCGAGTCGAAATATGTCAAATATTAAATGATTACTCGATAGGGATTTGTTCTTGCATTTTTCTAATTTTTATTTATTTATTTTTTTTTTTTTTTGGGGAATATTTCAATGCCCACCTCATCCAACCTCAAGATATGTTCATCTATAACAAAAAGAAGTCTATAACATGTGTTCATATAATATAAAATAAAATTTAAACCATATGTGTTTCATTACACCATTTGTTCAAAAGCCAAGAAGAGGTACATGATGGTTTGTAGATTTCAGCATCATCTATATAAGCTCCAAAATGCAACTGGCTGAATGGTGAAATCTGAATCAGTTATTTCATATGCAACATAAAAAGCTCTGGTTTTTCAATGAATAGCTTCCATTCATTGCAGAACCGAGCAACAGTTGCTCCGTCCAGAACTCTATGATCAGCACCGATATTCACCTGCGACAGAAATTCTCCGGTCAACCAAGCTATAAATCATAATACTGATACAAGTCATGACAGCAGTATTCAACAAGATTTCACACATAATATTTCTTGCCGCAAAAACGGCTATCCTCACCATTTGAATGTTAATTAGCTACCATTACATATATGCACGTTTGCATACATTACGTGCATGTCAAATACAAATTTGCATCATAGAAACAGAGAACGTGTTTCGCGAACAAATGGGACAAGAACAGGCTCAGGTTCCGCAGGAAATTTAACTTACTCCCACGACTTACATGTCCAAGTTGGGTTATTCTTCTTGCAAATTGAGAATCACATGTATGTGAAGTTTGCTACTGTATGTGATATATTTTGTAATTAGGAAACATCACTTGCATCACATTAGGAGAACAAAATAGTTCAGACAATGTCATCAATAGAATAGAAGTGCATGTTTGGTACGCAATACTGGACATGATTGTACACTATAACGAACACGAATTTAGCTTCGAGTTCTTCCTTAATTATTTCTTAATATGGAAAGTGCTATTCAATTCTCCCTGCCAAACAATATCCAAAACGTTCTGAGCAAATTGCATGATGACGTGCATGCACATCACATAAAAAGTATAATCTGAGAGCTGAATTTAAGAAACACGAAGACAGCCAATGATTTAAGTCAAATTCAAGAAAAACAGGTAGGTGTAATATGCATTTATTGGGTGAAGTTAGTCGCTACTTACAGTCATAATGGACGCAGGATAAACACTTCCGTCTTCAGCAAATTGAGGAATTTTCTGTATTCGTCCAAGAGCTATGATGGAAACTTCAGGCACATTGATAAGAGGGGAACCGAATTTTCCACCAATTGCACCAATATTGCTTAAAGTTATAGTTCCACCGGATATATCATCAGGATTAAGCTTGTTAGCTAAAGCCAATTGCTGTAGTCGAGACAGTTCTTTCGTAATCTAAAAAAATAATTAAACATCAAGAACACGAATTTTATAAGGAAATGCATACCAACACTGGAGTTACAAAAAGGAAACAGGACTAATTTCAAAATTATAAACTAATAAAAAAAACAATAAAACAAAAAAAACAAAAAACAAAATAAAGCATGAAATTTAAATTAGAACTCACCTCCAAGATGGAAAGAGATTGAACCTTCTTTATGTTCGGTACAACCAAACCATATGCAGTTGCCACAGCAATCCCAATGTTATGGGACCCTTCAATGACAGAAAAGAAAAGATGACCAAAATTACGATTTATAATCAAGAATGAGATAAGCATCATTAGATTTTTCACCAGGTAATTCAACAACATATGATGCACGTCCACCATGTAATCAATGATGTAAGAGATTTACACAATGAAATACGGCTGACAGTTTTATTTGGGACAAACAAACAATTGCTACTTCTAAAATAAGCAGCAAGATGAAAATTGAGCTGCAGTTGAACAGATAAATACCCCAACTTTCCCAAAACAGCACAACTGATCTATAGAATTAAAAACAGATTAGTGTATTTTTTTCTTTTTGGGCGGTAAGGATCTTAGATGTATAATTTATAGGGAATAAGCCTATGTTGTTATCAAGGAGCTCACATGTATGCCTTTTTTAATAAAAATCCATTGAAGTAAAATATTACATTTCCAGACCTTGAACACTGTTTCACTATGAAAAGTATTACCTTGACCATGTTCAGCTAAGCTTACAATATAGTATGACCGACATAAAAATTATTCAATTCAAAAGTTAATAATTTACTTATAAGTAAACTTAAAGTTTGGCCAAACATGCTCGATCATCCATTGAACTTGGTCGATGATAAAATTTTCTGTTGACTTACTCCCCTGCTCTATTATCCTCACCATACAAGTATTTGAGACAACAGAACCTGAGATTGTCTCCACAAATGAAAAATCAGTTGCACCACAATTCCTGGCGCATACAAATACCCGTAAAAGTTGAATCATTTTGTCACATGGTGCAAACTCTCCTCCAACAGTGGCAATCATGTAATTGTATTGATAACAAAGCACAGGCCGAAATATATCACTGGCAGCTACTTTGTAAAACTGAACCACACATACCTTTAAGAATAACCTCTTGAAATTCCTCATTGAAGCAACTATTTAGCATGGGATATTTACTCAATGCCATTGATAGTGACTTTATCAATGTGGGAAGGAAAGTATGCTTGACATCTGGATCAGAATTTTCATTTTGGAATGATGATTTGAGCTCAACGAGTGCATCGCAATTTATATCTTCTACATAATGAAAATGTGGAATTTTCGCAGCCTCTGTCATTGACTTGACCATAGCACGCTGGAAACCCCTGCGAATATAGAATACCATTGACATTATTGTTTGTCTAGCTGGATTAAAATTTCTTATCTAGCAATAATAATTGTACTCTCTCCTTTATCTTAAAATAATAGAACGACAAATCATGTCTTATTCCCTATAAAATTTGGGATCGTCTACATGAATCATTTGTAACCACTCCATTTGGGTCATTGCTAAATACCGAAACATCCCAAGCAACTAGATGCTTAGCAGATCACTATAAGGCATGTTGTTTTGGTTTACACTTGCGACTTCTAACTTACTCTACTGAGATTGCATCACTTTTACAAATGACGGTCAATTTTTGTCTATGCAAAACATGTCTTAACTGCCTATGTCATCATTGCCTTATAATCTTAAAATAATAATGATAGTTTACAGTTGCGTAGCAGGAGATCACATATGGATTCTTAAAAAGGACATAAAAAATCATATCCACCAGAAGATCATTATTGTCCTAAAAAAAGCCTCTTAGGCCTTAAAGACGGGAATTTTTAACTTTCAAATGTTTTTATATTCACAAATGAAGACTAAGCTAGAACTTTTGAATTAACTCAGGTGCTTACTGATGCAATGAATATACCTCACAGGAATGGTCTTATCTTCATATTGCCATCCATAAGCAAATGAAAAATCATGGTGTTTCTCGTTTCCTCCTAGAAATTGTTGGGTAGAAGAAGCATTGGATGCTGAACCTTCAACAAAAATTCCTTTTTGTGCAGCATAACTGAGGATATCCTCTCTCAACACCCTTCC